AGAAGGTCTGGAATAAATGCCAAAGGCAATGGAAAGGGGGGCTGTCCAAGGAGGAGTGAAAAGGTTTACTGGGTCCAGGGGGCCAGTGGAGACTGAAGTAAGGCCCTGGGGAGCTCTCAGCCCCAGACTGGAGGAGCGGTGGAGAAGACTGTGCTAGAGGTGGGGGTGTGACAGCAGCAAGGGACTTTTGAAGGAGAAGAGCTTTCCCTGAGGCAGACTCACGTGGCTGCCAGTGGACACCTACGTCTGGGGAAAGATTGCCATGTTACTTAAGGATTAGAAATAAAAATTTTGAGAAAAATTTTAGAGGTGAAAACTTCATGATTTTAGAGAAGGTTTACACATGGGCTTTTAACTTTAAAAGTCTTACTGATTTAAATGGAACATACAGTGCTTAGGCGTGGTGCACCTCACAGAACTTGTGGTACACACATTTCATTTTGGCTGTGGACTGAGTTACATATTTAGGGTTTTTTCTTATTATTATAGATGTCTTTGTGCCCAGGGGGATGAGGCATTCATGAGGAAGGTAGGAAAAGAAGTCTGCATGTCTCTAGAATTGTATCGACTGTGGAGGTGGCAGCTAGGAGAAAAAGCCACTTCAGGCTTGTCAGGGTCTCCTCAACGTGATATATTTTGATGTTTTTCTCAGCACGAGCTTGACTTTAACAATGAATCCAGAAAAAAAGGGGGCGTGGTAATAAATCATAAACAATGAAAACCAGTGGAGATTTCTTCTGACCCCGACTCTGCAGCTCTTCCATTTCCACCAACCCCTCAGAATATCTAACTAAATGCACTTAGAGAGAAAATGCGGGAATCTAGCTGTGCCCCAGAGACAAAGGCACCAGAGCCTTTTGGAAGCCCCCGAGCCTCTTCCTTGGCAGGAGTCAGTACCGCAGCACTGCTCAAAAGGGAAGATGTTAGGCTGGGAGGTGGGGGATGACAGGAGAAAGTGAAGAGGTGGTGGCCAGGCAGGACAGAGTAGAACAGCATCAAGAGCAGGCTTCACCTGGCACACAGAGCTGCCTAGGCCTGGGAGCAGTGAGGAAGAATCCGGAGAGAGCCGCTGGGGTCTGTCTACGGGAAAGGCAGCTTTAATAATTAACAAATGAGAAAATGGACGGAGGCAGTAATATGACCCCCAGCCTTTCAAAACTCTGAGCAAATGGCCTCAACAGCCTGCAGTCACGTTACAGGCTGCCCAGCAGAGGAAAGCTGAGAAGACTGGGAGAACATGAAGAACGGTTGTAACCAAAGAAAACTTACAACCAAGTCGATCTAAGACATATTTGATGAGAGCCATGATTCAACACGGACTGCATGGAAGGCACAAATGGAAAACCAGTTCTTATAAATTACTGAAATTAGTAAGTCAGAGCCAAACAAAATTTTAGTTGTTTTCGTCTCAGCTTGTTAATACTCCAGTATCTATAATCAATGCAATGTTGAGTTTTCTTTTTTTCCAATGTCTACTGAAAAAATTAGGCACACACTCTCAAAATCGGGCACAAAGCTGCCTGGTCCAAGGTTACTTTTTTACTCCGACCTTTTTGTCCTTCCTCAGTTCAAGATACACAGAGTATTTTTATTTCAATGCAACTAAATGTGATATTGACTCCCTTGAAGGTAGGAAGATAGTGTAGGGGAAAGAGGGTAGTTTCAACCCCCCGCTCTGCTCTTTATCAGCTGCACGATGTTGGACACCTTATAGTCTTTCTGAGCCTTGAGACATCTCAGTGAAAATGTTAAATAGTCAGCAGGAGAGGTAGAGCAGGACTGGCTCATGAAGCAGAAGGAAATCAAAGAGAGTGTGGGACACAGAAGCCAAGAGAAGAAAGTGTTGTTAAAAGGGAGTGGTCACCCACCCATGTTGAAAGCGGCTGCAAAGATGGGTAAAAAGTTTCCACTGCATCTGGCAAAGTGAAGAAATTATTCAGACACAAACCAAGACATCTAAATTGTTCTTGGTCCATTATTTCAAGACCAGGGGATATCTTAAAAGAAAAAAAAGATAGCATCTTCGATCACTGTATTGTTTTAAGAGACTTCTCTCTTAGGTCTTACTGCATATTAAAACAAAACAAAATCTGAGAATAAATTTTTACAACCCTGGTTCCTCTTTTCACTTTCAGTAATTTCTAGGTTCTCTGTGCCCGCTTAAGGGAAAATGTGAAAGAGATGGGAGTAAACTAAATCTAGACTATATAATCCGGGGCAGGTTCAGAAAAATTTCCGCTTCATCGTAAGCACATCTGAAAACAATATTTTCTGTAGTGATGTGCAACAAGTCTTTTAAATGCAGTTATTTCATAGTTAGCCTAAATTTAGGCAAATATAATTTCTGAAGACTAACACAAAGAAAAACAAATGCCATCATTAGTCTTCTAGCACACAGATCTAATAACGGTATATTCTTTCTCGTGACTCCATACACACAGGAAAAGCTGTTGGCCCCCAGCGGCTGAGTTGACCAAGCCCCGTGGAGTTAACAGATCAAGCTCTCCTCACCTGTGTAGACTTTCCGGTGTGTAGGCTGACTGCTTATAAAGTGGAAACACATTTCATCAACTTATGTTAATTATTATGCTTCTACTCCACCGAAGGATGATGGTCATGCAGAACTGGAGGCATCGGAGGAACTTAAGAGATTTGGAAAATGGAGAACCCGAGTCTTGACAGGTGACAGAATAGGCACAGTTATACAGCTCCCACATAAGCATGTGCCTGCATCAGCCACCCTAAAACAAATGTCTCTGACCTTCACCTGCCCCCCGCCGAACACAAATTCCCTCACAGAGTCCACACTCACCATTTCTACTTCCTGACCACTCATTCACTCTTCTACCCACTTCAATCTGGCTTCCTCCTTCACCACTCATGAATAAATGCATGCATGTCAAGGTCACAGCATCTTTATGCGGTCCAACCCAAAGGTCACTTCTCACCCTCCCTTTTACACACTCCTCAGCAGCATCCAACATCCTACTCCCACCTTCTTGACTTTCCTTCCTGGCTTCCATGAGCCCCGGGGTCCGGTTTTTCTCTATACTGATTTCCCCAGCTCCTCTGCTGGCTCCTCTCCACCTCTTCTCTTACTTTCCTCTCTCCCTGGTGATTTCAATGTGCTCAGAATTTTAAGTATTTATAGGTCAAATGTTCCAAGCTTTCCAATGAGCGCCTGACTTATAGACCCCACTGAGTTCTCAATACTGAATAGCTATTTGACATCTCAAACTAAATGCATGCGAAACTGGAATCTTTATTTTTCCCTCCAAAGCCTGCTCCTCTCAAAGTCTGTGCTATCTCACTAACTACCCAACTGCTCAAGTCCAAAGCCTAGAAATCATTCTGGACACTCTCATTTCCCTCTTCTCCACGTTCAGTCGACCAAAGATCTGCCAGTTCCACGTCTCAAATAGGTCTGCTTCTTGAGTCTGTCACTGCTACTACCAGGACCTCTTTAATGGATGACTGCAATATTCCAACACTTCTGCTTGCTTTCAGTGTGCTGCCTGCGGTCTATCCCACACAGCAGCCAGAGCAGCACTGCAAAACTATAAGACAGACCAAAAGACTCTTCTGCTGAAGGCCCTGGGGCATCTTCATTGCACTTGGAGTAAGGCTCAAGGACCTGGATCCTGCCTGGCTCCTGCCTGCTCTCCCCACCCTTCTAGCCACACTGCCCTTTCTGTTGCTCTGCATGTGCAAGCCAAGCTCTTTCCTGCCTTGGGGCCTCCGTGCTCCTCTGAAAGGCATTCCCCAACCTCCTCACTATAAATCACTGTGTCCTCTTCACACTTCTCACCACCTGTAACTAGCTACACACGCAAAAAGGTCTCCGCTAAGTGGAAGCTTTGTGAGAGCAGGGTCCCTGTGCATGTGGGTTACGAATGTAGCTGTCTCACTAGCTGAGCGAACAAATGCAAGAACATTGGCATTGGGTGGGGACTGCAGGGCTCCAGGCTCTGGCTCTCCTGAACAATAGATGAATCAGCGCTGATGCCAGCAGTTAGCATGTGAGCGGGGACTTCTCTGTGGGAAGAGAGGCCAGCCCATGCTGCAGTGCTGCACGAAAGCACCAGCCAGCCTCCGGTTCGGGTCAGGCTCAGCAGTTCCCTCAGACGTGGACCTCAATGGGCAGTTACTGAGGAGTGGGGGGCATTTAGTCAAAAACGGCGACAACACAGAACCGCTTCAGGCAGGCTTCTCCTCAGGAGATGAACTAGACTTCAAGGCTGCTATCTAAAGTGGAGATGATTCCTGGATGGCTGCCTTCCCACCTGTCTGATTGTGGATTCCAAAGACTTGGCTATAGTCGAAAGGGGGCAGGATGAAAGCTTCTGTTGCCACAGCAACTGCAGTGCTCCTGGGGCCTAGGCTCGAGGTTTCAGATAAACAACTATTCAGAGAAGTGAAGAAAACGAGCAAAGCAGAGAGGGACAAAAATGGAAAAACGGCAAGAAGTAATCCCACAAGTGCTGCAAGATACACTCCGAAAACAAAGTGCAGGAGCTGGGAGCAGAACCCTCCCACAGGAGTGGCCTCCTGCTGGGACTTATCCGGAACAAAAGGCCCCATGACACAAACATCTGTTACTACTAAACACTTAGAAATCAATATTTTCCTAAAGGTTTTTTTTTTTTTCCTTTTGGCTTTCCTTTTACTGTCTGCCAGGCTACCAAACCCAACCTTCTCCCAGACCCACAGCCACCACATGGAGTGACTATTAGAACTTCAAAAGAATCTGGTCCCAGAAATGGCCTTGTGCTAGTTTTTTCCTGAACAGAGACACCAGGAAAATGTCAGAAGGCAAATCCAAACCCACACCCTGAAAGACTTAAAACCTAACAATAATGTCCCTGGGAGGATGAGTAACCTAGTCCAATTTAATTAAAAAAGGAAACACGGCAGATCTAATAGATGGCTCGGACGTTTCCAGCAAGGAAGGAGATGTGGGAGGAAGAGTAGAGGAGGTAAAGGGTCGTGGGGAGCTTTACCTCAACACCTGCATCTCTTCCGGGGAGTTCCGTACCTCGTCCTGGAGGCGACGCCAGCGCAAGACAGCCCGCAGCTCCTGCTGCTCCTGGGCCTCGCTGGGGGCCAGCTGTTTGGGCCACAACACATAAACACACATGCACAAAACACGGTCACTGTTGTCCTCCTGCAAGGTCAGAGCCTACGACGGAGCAGCTGGCTTTGTTTCAAGGAGGATGCCACAGACCGCTTCCCCGTTGCACCTTGCGCTCCATCAGAAAAGTCGGGGAGCCAAAGGGGCCTCTTAGGTCCTCAAACAAAGAACCAGCTGCTCACTCTTGCTGCCTGTTTGGGAGGTGCCCCCTGGTCCCAGAACCAACCCCCGCCCCCTGAAGAGAGCAGGCTTCCCTAGGGGGCCATTTCCACTCTGATTCCATCCAGCCCTTTCCTGCTTTGTCTTTCTGCACAGGGTGAGGAAGGTCCCTCCATTTGCCTCCTATTTTCCCAGCGCTCAGTTTTGTTAAAGGCTGTTTACAGTGGAGCCTGCTAATGCAACCCAGATGATTCTGTTTGCATATAACCAGAAACAGTGTACTGCCTGGGCTCACTCTGTGGGAGGGAGAAGGCCACTGTACCCAGCCCTACTGGTCAGAATCAGCCGCTGTCACTAGATGTGCTCACCAAGCCCCATGGCTATAACCTCCTTAAGGCAGGGCAGCCGGACATCCACTGGGGATGGAGATGTTAGTAGATTATCTAGAGGAATTTCTTGAAATTAAAGATTTCTAATAGTTCATTCAACAGATATTTACCAAGTCTCTGCTAGGCCCTGAGGACATTATGAACACAGCCCCTACCCCATGGGGTCTGGGTGGGGGCGGAACCGGAGGAGGGGGGAGATAAGAACACTGACATCAGAGTTCCGTGATGATAGAGGTGAAAGACCAACGAAGGTGGTCAGAAAGCTTTCCTGAGAAGGTGGCAGGGTCTAAGCTGGTCACCAGGGAAAGCAGGCGTCAGCCAAGGGAGGAGAAATTTCAGGAAGAGGGAAATCATGTGCAAGGCTCAGGGGGCCTGGAAAGAGCGTGACGTGTTTAGAGAATGGCAAGGGATGTGGTCAGGCGAGGAGCAGGCTGCCATCCGGAGAGGAACAGAGATGCCGAGAAGCGAGCAGAGGCCAGCTGATCAACAGACTTGTGTTACGAAATGAGTTATGCCCCCTCCAAATTCATAAGTTGAAGTTCTACCCCCCAAAATGTGACTGTCGTAAATGGGGCCTTGAAGGAGGTAATTAAGGGTAGGAAGGTCATCGGGGAGGGGTCCTAACCCAACAGGACTGGTGTCCTTATAAGAACAGGTAAGAGATACCCAGAGTAGTCTCTCCACATGTGCACAGAGGAGAGGCCATGTGAAGACACAGTGAGAAGGTGGCCGTCACCAAGCCAGGGAAGAGAGAAACCAAGCCTGTCAGCACCTTGATGTTGGACTTCTAGCCTTCAGAACTGTGAGAAAACAAATGTCTGTTTAAGCCTCCCAGTCTGTGGTATTTTGTTATGGCAGCCCGAACTGATTAAGACACCCGTGAAAGACTTTAGACTTTATCCATATTGATGACAAGTTATACGACTCAATCTTGCAACTAACTCAATTCACGTCTCCCTACAGAATGCAATTGTGAGCAGAATGCTGATCTCCATCTCCTTATTCAATGATTTCTCACTCCCCCAACTCTGCCATGTTTGTTTATGCTCCATGCTGTAGAGTGACCAATGTGCCCTCACGTCCTCCTCACTGAGGGAGCCTGTGACTGATCAGGAGGGTGCCATTAGGTGGCTCACCCTTATCTGCCCAAAGAGTGCTTCTCTCTTGCCTGGAAAGTCTGCGGGCACTTTTCAGGGACCAGCAGCAGCTGAGTCTCACTCATTCTTCAAGGAAGGGTCCTGAGAGATGGACATGCTCTGGGAATACTTCCAAACTTTGTGCTGGTTCTAGAACTGCCACTTTGCCTCAAGAGTGTTCGTGTTTTCACATACTGAAGAATTACTGCATGCACCTTGAAGGATGATGAGCCAGGCTGTCCCCTGGTGCCAGGTTAGGAGAAAAGGAGGGATAGAGAAACCTCAGCTCCTACTTTCCCTTTGAGTCCATGTCAGAAGTCGCCTTCTCCATTAATACTTTCTTGATCTTCTCAGACTTGGCCTCTCCTAACTTTGAACTTGTACAACATTTGATGTTTCCCTTTCTTCTAACTTATTTTCTTCTTCTTGCCACTGTGTGTTTTTCTCATATCTGCGATTAAACTATGACCTCTTTCAGAGCAGGGCTGTCTTTCTTATTCATCCTTCTATCCCTACAGATCTAGCACAAAATGGACACACGGAAGGTTTTCAGCTGTCAGAGGCAACAAGGCCAGCTTTGTTCCTCTGTTGGTAGAGACAGACATATTCAGGGCAGTTAGAGGCAGGACCCATGCAAAGAGCCTCAGGAGTGATGCCCTGGAAGCTCAGGCAGAGGGGAGGGTAAAGGAAGAGCGCTCTCTGGGGATACAGGAGATAAAGGACAGAAAAATCATCATCGAATGCCTGAAATACATTCACAATTTCCAAGAACAGCACAAATCTGATTGTCTCAGGATGGAAGTACCCCCAAAAAGGGATGGTGATAGCAGCACATTTATAGGAAACCTATTTACCTTTGCTGAATGCCTACCATGTGTCAGGCACTGTGCTAAGCTCATTTACACATTATCGTATTCACCCTGCAAGGGTAAGTATTCTCACACCCATTTTACAAATGAGGAAACTGAGGCTCAGGGAGGCTGGTGAATAGCAGAGCTGGGATTCCAAGCCTGGACAGACTCTGAACATAGCCGCTTTCCACAAGTCCTCCATGTGGCCTCCCTTCATGGGACTCTATGTGGCAGGGGGACACACTGCTAGCTCTATGGGAGTGGGAAGCTGAGTAAGATACAGCTCTGCTTTGAAAGAGGTCAGAGTCTAGTAGTGGTGAGGAGAGAAGAAAGAAGAAAAAAGCGAGAGAAAAAAGAGGTAAGTACCAAAAACTGTGGGAGTTCAGTTTCTAGAAGAGCAGTATTGAATTGTGAGTGGAATGATCAGTCTGGGCTATGCAGAGGTGACCTTGAGCTGGTTGGTGAAAATTAAATAGGACTTCAACAGGTGGAAGGAACTTGAACAAAATCACACAGGTATGCACAAACTTGGGAACTTCAGAAAATGTTAAATAGTCGAGTGTGTAAGGGGTGGGGATAGTAGAGAAAACAAGTGACCAAATATTCACAACTGGAAAATAAGCAGGAAGCAGTTTAGCTGCTATATCCTCATTAGAGTTTGGGGTCAGTTCTTTAAAGTAGAGGTTGTACTGGGAGTCTGTTGACCAGGTCTGGCCTCTGGGTATGTTTGGTTTGCACAGTATTTTTTAAATTAGTAGATTTCATATAAAAATCCAGATTTATAACTTTCTTTAAAAAACTAAGAGTCTAGGCTATCTCGAGCCCTCCCTTCAACATGACAACAATTGGTCAGAACTAAGGAGCAGCTGCCATTTTGCCATAGTCTTCACCATTCCTTAATCTCTAATACCAAGTGCTTTATTCTTCATTACTTGCCAGCACGCATTTGAGATTCTGACTCCTGACTTACTAAATCTCATTGTTTAAAAAAACCAAAATAAAACACAGTCAATGTCGCCACAACTATAACTACAAAGGAATACTTGAGTAGCCTCAGCATGACCTTTTCTGCAAGTCTTTGCTCAAATGTGCCCTTATCAGAGAGGCCTTCTAAAACAGCACTTCCCCCACCATTCTTTACCTGGCTTCATTTTTCTTCACAGTACTCATCATCACCTGATGTGCTACAGATGTGTGCCTTTGTCGATCCTCTGTCCTATTCCAGATTGTGAACCCCACAGGGTGCAGGGACTTTTCTCTCTCCCCAAGTGAAAAAGGACAATGCTTCATGCATAAGCACTCAGTACACAGCTGTTGAATGAACGAATGACTAGGAATAGTATTTGACTCCAGGGAGTGAAATGCTTAGGGTCACTTTAAACCCACCTGCTGTGCTTTGGCCCAGAACACATCTTCCAAGTGAGTGGCAAACCCTTCACTCAGCCACTCTTCCGTCCAGTCACGGGCCCCGATGGCGAGGCCAAACCAGGAATGAGCAATTTCATGGCAGAGACGGGTCCCGCAGAGATGGCTCCTTCCAGTCAAGGTGCTCTGAGAGAGGAAGACGATGTGTGGGCTGTGGATAATGGGAGAGAAAACACACGGGAGTCTTGTTAGAGCCTGTCCTCTGTGGCTGCCCCATGGGGAGGCGTTCTCAGCCCGGCGAGCCTGTTATTATCATGTGCATGCTAGATCATGACCGATAGGCTGGAAGCTTAGATGCTTTTAGAAATACATAAAGTGGCAGTTTACATTTCTGGCAGCAGTTCAGGTTGCCGTTTCTGCCAAGCAGTTGTCTCCGTCATCAAACAGCTATTACCTGTAATAAGTAACCTGTACCCCAGTTTTACACTGAAGAAATTACAAGGCAATGGAAGCATTTACTTGGAAATCTGGACTGTAAAAGAAGAGCAGGTGTGAGAATGTGAAGCCCATGCTGTCAGGAGATGATCAAAGAAGACCCTTCAGCCAAAAATCCAAGCGGCTTACGAACAAATTGAGAAGTCATGCAGAAGGACAGGAAAAGCCGAGAAGAATGGAACCAAAAATTTTCCACTTCAGACTGGGGCTGGTTCCAGAGTTAACAAACAGGTGCCATGGATGGGTGACTTTCCAAGAGACTCTGATAAAAGTTGAGTTTCTGTAAGGCAAATATTTTCAATACCATCATTTTCTTTCTGTAGATGCTTACACATTCAGAGGGCATAAGAAAACTATACAGAGAGAGAAAAGGAGAGAGAGAGACAGAGAGACAGAGAGACAGAGAGACAGAGAGAGAGAGAGAGAGAGAGAGAGAAAGGGAGGGAGAGAGGGAGGGGGAGAGAGAGAGACAGAGAGAGAGAGAGAGAGAGAGAGGATTTAACCCACCCAGGTATGCAAATAGCCCCAGGGCTGGCACCAGCTTGGGAGATTTATCTAATCTTATTTTCCATACTTTGTTTTAAAATGCAAAATACCATGATTAGAACTGCACAGATGAAATGGGAGGGAGGGAGGCGGAAGAGAGAAGAGGCAAACAATGTACTGCCTATGCTTCCTCTTTCGGCTTTTCTCATTATCCAGGACTTGTTTACAGTCTTATTAATGTAGAATTTGCTCTTTAAAAAAAAAAAAATCTCTCCTCTATCAATTGAACAGAAACAGTTGTGAAACCTTCCAAATTAAGAACTGTACACACTGGTTTCTTCCTTCAAAAGCCATTTGTTAGCGATCATGTCAGCTCTGCGCAGGCCAGGACTGCTTGCAGATTTGTCCTCCACCCCCATGGCCACCAGTAGAGAAAACCCCACCTGTATTTCCCTTGCACAACATCACCCATTCAGCTCAGAGAGCCCAACTGAAATCACAGGAGTCGTGTGCCAAAATAGACAGCTTTTATGTGAAATAATAACAGGGCAGACACGCAAATGAAAAAGCGTCTGCCAGGCTCTTGGCAGAGTCCACCAGAAACTCCAGATATTAAAAGTGCATTGGGGGCATATAGGACACAGAATGAAATGCAGCAGGTACCAACAGTAGTTTAGAGCACTAATTCATGGGTTAAAAAGGAAAAAAGGAAGGAAGGAAGGAAGGAAGGAAGGAAGGAAGGAAGGAAGGGAGGGAGGGAGGGAGGGAGGGAGGGAGAGAGGGAACTGAGAGTCATGGGAGCTTACTGAGAAAGTCCGTGGAGAAGACAGACGTGCAACCTGGCATTTTTAAGTAAATGACCCCTTGCTCTGGCATGCGTAGTGCTACAAAGAAAAGCCACAGAAATGTACCAAGTAAATAACATTCCAGACATACTGTTGGCAGCACTTCATCCTTTTGGCTAAAACAAAACACAAGTAACATCAGGCCTTATAAACAGGCTCAAAGACAAGCCTGCATCAGAAGGGTCTGTGGGCCAGAGACTCAGACGGTGCACCCACCGTAGTTACAGAGACTTTCTAAGGCTGGCCCCTCTGCTCCACCCAGGAAGGTTACACAAGCTGATGACTGTTCATGAAGAAAAAGCCTGCCCTGTCCTCAGTGACCCACTAGCTGTTTTGTCCCAGTGGGGAAGCCAATTCAAGGCCCATTTATGCAAATATCAAAGTCCGAGAGGGCCTGAAGGAATGTAGAAAAGCAGATGTGTGGGGGGTGGCATTGTGTTTCTCTGCCCTTTAATTTTTCTCCTCTGGCAGTTTGTCCTCTCCAGCAGACCTCCTTCTCAAGCTGCCTGTACTAGGGAGACACCACCCAGGCCCTGGCGCATCTTGCCTGAGTTCCGGACAGGCCCTGACATCCCTGGAATCCCACCTACATTCCCACTTCCCATCCTCAATCCTTTCTTCCTGGCCAGGGATAAATGTATTTCCCATTGTCCTCTGAAAAAGCTTAAACATCCTCCTAGATAGGAAGGAAGGGCGGTTCACTGGGTAAAAATGACCCACCCTATTATCAGTGGAAAACTTCTCTCTGAAAAGCAATTTTCCAGTTGGGAACCAGACCCCAAATCCTCCTACAGTGAAGTTTGTTTTCTAAGGTTGGGTTTTATCTGTGGGGTATTCTGGGGTCATATATCCTTATGAAGGAAATGGCTTGTTTCTTAAAACTAAATTAAAACATGGAGTGAGGTTTTGATAACCTTTTCCAAGGGTTGTTAACAAAATTCTGACATAAAAGAACTAATAGAATTTTCTTTCAAGGAGAATTTCCTCTTTTTCTTTTGACCCTCAAAATCAGAAATTCTCGTGTTAAGTAGAATTTTTAAACTGCTTTTTCTCAAGTTAGTGGAGAAAAATATAATGTTCTTAAATTCACTTCAAGGAGTAATATTAAATATTCCTTTACCAACAGATATTCTACTTTATGTCCACCTTCAAAACAGAATGAATGTTTAGAATTTTCTACTCCTACCTTAACCTTGATTTATAAGTTTCACCCCTGGGCTCCTCACACATTCCTCCTTTCTCAGACTCTTATTCATGATCCTAATCAGCCAGCAGGTCATCAGTCTTCACTCTGACAGGGCCCATTTGAAAACGGTTTTCTTTTTTCTTTTCCTCCCCCTGAAAAGGCCTGTGTCAACTGCCTCTACAAATGCCAAATTGTCGATTCATCATCATTACATGGGATGGAAGATAATTACTTCAACGATATCTTCACCCTAAAAATGTATTTTTTCTTTTTTTAAATCAGTTTATCATTTTTTCCAAGTAAGAGATGGGCAGGGAAGTAATCTTTTCAACTCTCAAAACGCACAAGCCCTCTTGCTTGTATTCTCCATAATAAGTTATCTTTCACTACACGTGACAGAGGAGAACAACAGAGGGGCAGAGCAGGGAGACTGTGGGCGAAGAGTGACAGCAGGACACGTGTTCCCATTCTTTCCCAAGAGACCACCAGCAGGGCTGCCTCCCCACAAAGGCCACATGGTATTGCCGCCCTGCCTCTCTGAGATTAAAAATATCATTTCTGGTCTGAAAACAGTTTCTCGAGACTGCCCCTAAAAGCTACCTCCCCACCCAGATTAGAAGCCTGTGTCTGTTAATTTGAAACATGCTTCTAGCAGAGGAGGAAGGAGTGCCTTCATTACTCTCAGGAGCCGGTCCAATCCTTTGGGAGGAATTCAATTTGGAGCGGAAATGGAGAATTTCATCAGATCTTAGGCAGGGGATGGTGTGTGATTTATTTTTGCTTTGTCCAGGGAGATGTGACCAGTGTAAGCCATCTTGCTGCTCAGTACTTACGGGCTCTAGCTCCGCACTGCTACCTCAGCTGGTCAGAGCAGGCTATGGTGGGACCAAAAGGACAGGAAATTGCTTTTGGTTACAGACAAGAAGAGCCTCAGGCCACGCCTCCTAGACTGGAGCAGATCCCAATTCCCCTCAGGGGAAGCAGATTCACTTTTTATACAGATCCCCGGGAGGGGCCTGCTTCCAGGAAACACATTTATATTCATCAAGCCTGAACTTCTTGTGGGTTCAGAGTTTTTCGGTTTCAGTGACACACAGAGCCCAATTTCCCATTATAGAGGGGAAGGAAGAACCAAGAAAGAAGGAAACTGAGGCTCCTTTCCCTCCAAAATCAAACTGGATAGTTTAGAGGGTCTCAGAAGCACATGAAAGCAACTTTTACTTGCATGACTTAATTAGTTGCTAATTTAATTTAATTTAATTTGGACAACAGAAAAGCAAACTCACAGTAGCCTGGGGCAATCTGAAAGAGAGGACAAATGTCTCTACCCCTCCCTTAGGTTAAGAACACGTTTCTCTTTCCTTCACAAGGTGTGACATGATATATGCCAGGACTGCAAATCAAATGCTCAGCGCCTGACTCTTCATCTCTGCAATGAAATCTCTTAGCCCTTCTCTCCTGGATATAGTCTAATATAGGGGATGCATCTGTTGTCCCAAAGGCAAAAGGGTGGCCCGGATGACCTGGCAGGATCCCTGCTGCCCTCTGGCCCTGAGACTGCTCTGTAGGCACTAGTCACCTTCTTTGGCACCCGTCTGGCATCCCGCTGTGGCCACACAGTATAGTCTTGAAACGCAGGCTTAGGAGATGAGGAAATGCTATTTTGGGGGATATGGGACTTTTAGTAGCCTGAGGTGAAACCCGTTCTAAAAACTTGAGAAAAACATACTACATTTGATCAACACAAGGATCTCAGTTTAAGAGAAAAAGATAATGTTAGTCAGTATAAGTTTTCCATTAAAAATTCTGAATAGAAAATAGGCAGTAAAATATCTACTTATTTACGTCAATGAATTTTGGGTCCAATTGCTAAATGTGACTACAGCAGAGAGTAATAGAGGGAAGCCCCAGAGCAACAATCCAGAGACTCATATTTTCTTAAAGTCTCTTTGCTATGCACTGTATTTTACATACTTAAACTCGTTTAATCTACCCCATGACCTCAGGAGATAGATTTTTATTATTGCAATTTTACAGATGATAAAAATGAGTCAAAGAGAGGTAAATCAAGATCATACAGCTGGCAAGCAATGGAGCCAGTATTTTAACTCAAACAGTCTTGACCCTGAAGCTTATTCTGACCCACTCTGCCCAGGGTCACTGGGTTTAGACCTTTGACTTCCGGGTTCTCGTCACTCT